AAGCAGTCCAGTTGGTTGGTCTTGGCGTGTAGGCGTGCTCACGTTCGCAAAAACTGTCCTGCTCTGTTGTGATTGTCTGCTTGGCTGCACACAAGCGCACAAGTCTGTCTGTACTCGGGCAAATGCTTCTGAACGCGTGGGTGCCGTTTTGTCAGAACTCATTGCCAAATTCTACTCATGTGCATGTGTGGGTTGGTGGAAGTGTGGCTGGAGGCTAAAGGTGCCCGTGCTCATGTGTTCATGTAAATGCCTTTGATACTGACTGCATATCGTCAGTGGCAGGTGCAACAGTTGTGTTGTGTTGTAAGCTGCTTGTTTTGCCTTCACGTTTCTTTATGTGCTTGAAAAATTGAGTAAACAGAGGGAAAAGACAGCAGCCCGAGGGCTAATTTATTCACTCCCCAGTCGAGTCACAGACGCCCGTTGCAGACGGCCTCCGTCAAATGTGAGGAGCGTGCCGCAGCCTCGTCCGACAATGAGCTGGCAGGCCGCAGCCCACTCTCACTGGGCCAAGTGCTGTAGGCGAGAACAAGATCAGCCGTGATGCATCAATAAATTCTCAGCGTTCACAATTTCCAAAGACGGCATTTTTTTCTGAGCAGTGGCTGACCAAGAAAAGGTAGTTTTGAGTTCGTCAAAAAGTGGAGGGAAGTGCAGAGGTGCAAAGACAGCTAATCAATTGTCAAATGAATATGAATGTTTCGTTTGAATGCCTTTTAATGTGAAATTGTCCAAGTGCTCTGAATTTCAGCTTCTTAACTGTCGCCTTTCCCGAAAGGTTCCGGACAGAATTGGACTCTAAAAAACGTGAACTCGGAAAGAAAGGTTTCTGAACAAAAAAGGTCGCTGACAAAGTACAACAAAGGATGTTGGTACAACAAAAGGTAAGGAGAAAAATATAAATGTAAATAGCTTGACAATAAGGCAAGTACAACTTTATTGTCAAATGCGCTGTATGTGCAACATACAGCACAGATTAAATTTCTTCCCTCTCAACCAGACAACAAGAGGAGGCGCTGCGGGTGCCCGCGCCGCCATCAAAAGAACAGTTAACATAAATGACAAAATAATACAACACAACACATAAGACACAGACAGTCGTGCAATCTTAAACACTTTTCCTGGATACACTTTTTTGTTTGAAACAGTTGTAGATGAAAGAGGAGCGAATCAAAGTGTCCTTTTCACCAGTGGTCAAAGACGTCATGTTGAAAATGTGCACACGCCTGCTACAAGCTAGGTTTGAAAGTAACAAGAAGCTGTAGCGTCCATTAACGAAAATAAATAGACAAGAAAACCCAAAACGCATACACTACAAACCAACACTAAAAAAAAACGAAGAATAAGAAACACGCGACGTCTCCAAGATTCAAACACTTGGTGACATAATCGAAAGCAAGGCGAATAATCCAGCAGCAACATGATAACTTAAGTACTCTGCTAATTATCATTGTCAGCAGGTGTGCAAGCTGGAGGGGTAGGCCCTCCTCTGCCACCTGCTGGAGACACACAAAAACAGAATCATGACATTAACAGTGAGTGTTATCCGATTTATGGAGTCCTCTGTGCAAGTGGACTGACTTTGACTGTCTGACTACATTCCAAAAACATGCGTGGTAGGTCGATGGAACACATTGTCCTTAGGTGTGACTGTGTGTGCGAATGGTTGTTTGTCTATGTTTGCCCTGCGATTGGCTGGCAACAAGTCCAGGATGTACACTGCCTGCTGCCTGAAAACGGCTGGGTTGGCTCCAGTGTGATGCTCAGGAGGATAGAGTGAATTGGATAATAGATGGATGGATGGATGGATGGATGACGGATGGATGGATGGATGTGAGAGGCAGGCCTTCACGTCCTCAAATATGCTTCTGGAAGATTGGTCCAAAATCCATTTGCAAATACACCCCTAAACCGGATGAAAAGCCTTCCCAGAAAACTTGAAGCTGCTGTTAGTGTAAAAGGTGGGCCAAGGTCATATTAAGCCAATATGGAATAATAACGGGATTTTTGCATGTGAGTCAAGTCAGGTGAGCAGTACCATGTTGTTGGCAATATTTAGGGCTTTCCGTGTATTCTTCCTACTAAACTCCTTGAAGAGTCTCACTGTGTCAGCAACTACAGGAGAACTGCGTACCTCTGATTGTAGGTCTTGCAGCACACTGATACTTTGAACGTTCTTATGAAACAATGGATTGTCTTTCAACACAAAACGTCCCTACTCAGAAACGAGCGTCAGAAGTGCAGCTCCTATCTTAAATATTTGGCAAACTTCATAGCAGGCGCGTGCAAGCTGGTAGCAGATGTCACGGTGTGAAGTAATGTGACGTTACGGGTGCTAAACTGTGGGAGTGGGAGGATGCGGCTGCTCGCTGCCAGCTTGTAGTAATGGATGGCAGCACTATAGGAGTGGGAGGAGGCTCACTTGCTCTTTGGAAGAGAGTTGAGTCAAACGTCAGAGCAGGGGGAATTGTGCATCACACACAGTTTTGTGGTTATTTGAAAGCAATCCTCCCAAAAGAAGAAAAACAAAGCATGTATGTACAAATGTGTTGAGTGTAATGTATTTGTTTTGTAGGCCTGTAACGTGCCAAATCTTTGTGGCCGTCAAGTGCACTCTGGGAAAATTAATCAAGGCGGCTTGATGTTGCCAAAAAGGTGGTTCTGCACACTCTACAGGCTTTGCTCTTCTTTTCTTCTTTTTTATCTTGAACAAGATGAGGCAACACGCTCAGCGGTGCCGATTTATCAGCTGCTCCTGGAAGCTTTGTTTCCACAACATTCACCGCTCGATCACACACATTGCAACGCATTGCTCGCCACTTCCTACTGTTCCTTATTGTCAGTGTGCCCGCAAAACCTGCTGCTTAATGAGTCTCACTGTCACTGTGGTGTCACTACCAATTTGTGTGGGGAGAATATGCACACATCAGTTCAAGAGGGAATCTGCGTTTTTTTTTTTTTTTTTAAATGTTTGCAAAATTTCAATCTCACTAATCCCCTCCTGCCTTCGAGTCTCTGACCAAAGACACTCCCCTACCTTATGTGCACGATACACGAGCTGTACGCAACGTGCACTGTGACCGAGCCGAGCCGATGTTAACCGTGGAGAGCATGACGATTTGAAACAGAGTGTTGTTATAACACAAAATGCTACTGATTGGAAGTTTTATATTTTGGGGAAAGTACAATCAATTAAAAGATGAAAATACCGCAACCGTTCTGAATCCTCGGAGCTGTCTGTGACTCCTCCACCTCTGAAAAGCAGCTTGTATGTTCACCCTTGATTTGTCTCAGGTTTCTGTTCGATTCTTTCTTTTTTACTTTGGTTGATATTCACTGTTGGATATTCCCCGATTGTTTCAGCAACGCTGCTGAAGCCCAAGGAAACAAGTCAGAATGTTGCTGAGGGAGTGTGCACCACAAATTATTTACACCTTGACAGTCACACACACACACGATTTAGTTGTCCTGCTCCAACACAGTTGGTTCAAATGATCTGAATTGTTATCAGGCTGTTCAGAGCTTGCTAATGGTCTGATCATTTGAATTAGGTGTGTTGGAGGAGGGAGACATCTCAAATATGCAGGAAAGGGGCCATCAAGGACCGCGGTGGATCACCCTTGTATTAATGGTCACCACAACCATGGACTTTGATACAAATGGGGGTAACAATGCTGCCTACACTCGCCGATGCCTGATATGAACTCCATTGATCAATCCATCTTTTCCTTCATGTGTGTTCTCCATAGGCGACAAGGGCAAACAGTTTGTTGTGTGCATTGAGGTATGCCGCATATCGGCACCATCTCAGATTAATGTTAATGGCTAGCATTTCTTTCCATGAGGCATTTCAGCTCTTGTCCTTTGTTTGAGTTTGATCTCTGAGGAAACATCACTCAATTACTCCCAAGTTGTGCCTTCACGTGATTTTATTCCCCTGGACTAATATGAAGCTCACTTCAATTTACATGTTTAAATTGTCACTTAAGCCCCCTGCTCCTCTCCTTTTTGAAAGAGTACTGCAGAAGCTCTATGAATGCTGTCGCAAACAAACTGGTGCAGGCTTGCCATCCCTCGCGTCACCTGGGAGCCGGGGCCAAGGGGCTGCCTTTGTCATGATTCGGTTTGGGACCAACAGGTGGCACTGTAGGGCTCTCCCTGCAGCTGCACACCTGTTGGTCATTAGGTAATTAGTGGCTTTAAAAGGACTCCCAGCCCGAACAATCATTGTCGGGTCATTGTTGCTTTTTGCTGCTGTCATGTTTGTTTGTCAGTCATGTTTAGATCATGTTTTTGGTCATGTTTTTGTTATTGATAGGTTTGAGCTTCAGTCATGGTTTTTGTTTGATACTTTGGACTTTGTTTGTTTAGGATTTAATTTTCTGTGTTTTATCAATACACTTCTTCAAATACACCCTGCTCCTCCCTCCTGCCTGCTTTTTGGGTCCAACACCACCTTGCAACGTGACAGCCTTAGAAGAATGGAGCATGTCATTGTTTGGGAGGAGGAGAAGGGCGTCTTTGCTCTGGTTTCCTGTATTTGCCTCTCTTAGCCGCCATTGAAAAATGTCTCCTTGCCCCTCTGCCAAGATATGGGGAGGCGTTATCAACACCGCCGAGCTCACTCCACAGTAACGAGCCCCCAGGCACGGTATTATCTGTTTACGATAAGGATATTAATAACACTGTAGTTTAGTTATGTGCTTGGGGTGCCCCGCAGGGTGACGGCGTAAGGAGGGCCTTAATCATTCTGTCAGAGGCTCTCTCCAAGCAGGGCAAGATACGACTGGATTGCAGGGAAGGAAGGCGTCGTGGTGGGACAGTAGGGAGGTGTTCTCAAGCTAACCCCATCCGGCTCCTTCCTTCAGGCCACACAGGCAACAACCATCTGCCTTCAAGTCAGAGGCTCCACGTGCCCTCGGCCCATTGTTTGTTTGTGTGATGGTCCTTCCCCGGCCTGTCTTTCTGACACCGCCTTCTCTCTGTCCTTCTTCTTTCAGTGTCTCTACGGCTGCTATGTCCACTCGTCCATCATCCCCACCTTCCACCGTAGGTGCTACTGGCTGCTCCAGGTAAGAGCTCCTCTTTCCCGCTCCCGTCTTTTGAACCTGAATGAGTCACCTCTGTGACTTCATTCCACAGTCTCCATTGACCTATCTTGCAAGTCTTTCTCTTCTCTGATATGGCATTGCGCACACGCACATACATACCAGTGTGGGACGAGACTCAGTGGGGAAATAGCTCCCCCATCACCCTTGTTTAACTCTGTCTGTAAATTATGATGGAAGAGGTTCCCTGCATCACCGAGTTTGCTTACAGGCGGTCATTATGTCTGCAGGCTTAGTGGTCCAGCTCTTCAATCTCCTCTTCCCAGCCAGGCTATCTGTCTGCTCGCACTTCCACTGTAGTGTTTCGGTCTATCTTTGCTCTTCCACCGGCTGCAGACATTATTGGGATGAAAGCTTGTAACTTTTCCTTAAAGCATGAGTCACTTCACCAACGCATGAGGGAAAATCCTCCCCACCCCAGTATGGCATGAATCAGTTTGCATTGATTGTTGACAAATAGCAATCAGGAAAGTGCTCAGACCTAGTGTTTGCCAATGATGAGTCCAAAGACAGTTTGGCCCGAGCGACACTTATACGTATACATGTACTTCCTAGACCATTCGTGTAGGACGCTAACCTCACCTCTCCTTCCTCCCCTGCTCTTGACGTGACGCACCTATCCTCTTTCCCACCAGCAGCATCTGCTGCTCAATGACATTTCCATCCAATAATTGTTTAGCTTTCGCGGCTGCCTGCTGCAAAAAGCTACCAAACGTCCCTGTCTTTCAGTCCACATGCAGATGCTGACTGACCTTCACAAACAATGTGTCAGACTGTCAGGTCTTTGCTCTGGCGCTTTCTCCACCCTTCTCCGATCTATGGCTGAACCTTGCCTCCGCCATTCCCTGCGTGCCATTAGCTGTGTCCATATGTGATTTGCAGGCAGTAGTCTGTCAACAGGCGGGCAGCAAGGTGACTGGAGCTCCCAAAGCGGCGAATTGGAAAGGTCACCAGTGAGTGAAAAATGCAAATACCCAAGCATCCATCGGCCGTAGTCACAGAGCAGCATGGATGAAAATGGATTTCATTACACAGCACAGTCAGGGAGGGAACACAGAGGACAGGGGGGTGTTGGGGTTGGTGTGAATGGAGTAAGATGGGTATAACTTTTATGACGTTAAAAATAACTGAGATGGCAGCAGAAATGGGACGCAAGACATACAAAGAGTAAAGCAGCCAGTGGATGTGGATGCAACAGTAGCTATGTTCACACTGCAGGGTGTGATGCCCGGTTTGGATTATTATTATGATTATTATTATTATTTTTTTTTTTTATAAATCCAATGTTTTTATGTACTCACTCAGATTACAAAAGCAATTGCGACTTCAAGGTAAATGCAACATGTCCGTGATGTACGACGTTGAGTGACGCCCGTCAAAAAAAATGTTTTTTTACGGAAGTAGATATAGTCCTGCATGTCAAGTTCCGGATTGCTCTGAAACAAGTGGATCCCACACATGAAGACACGGGTAATGATTGACAAAAAGTTTTATTCCAGAAAACTCATTGCCAACAAAGTACAATAAGAGTCCCTGGTAACAAAATGGCCAGGATAACTTGAGAGAAACAAAAATCGCTTTCGAAAGGCAATGCGAAAATCGCTTGTCATAAAAAGGCAAGAAGACCCAATTTCGAGAAATGAAAACAAGTAAACAAGAATAATACTATAACAGAGAATATAAAGCGTAAATGAGAGCACTGTGAAACAAAGTCAAGAAAGTCTAAATAAGAGAGCACTTGGAATATGAGTTATGAGCAATGTGAGCGAATTATCCAACACCAGGTTGTCGGCCAAGCAGAATTGATAAAGGCAGTTGATTGTCACACGTGACAGCTGTGGCTCAAGAGGAAACGCCCCTCAATTACCCCGGAAACTGAAACACAAAAAGAGCAGGGTCTCATTTTATCATTTCATATTGCCAGATGAACGAGGCGGGAGGAGGTAGAAATATTTAGGGGCATATGAGACAATGCTCCTGGATTTAATGGGGACGTCAACGACATCACATCATTGCCACATGTAATAAATCAAACGTCTGCGTGGCTGACTGACTTCTATCACCACAGATGTCCACTTTACTGTATGCTTCATCTTTCAAGTGGGATTCAATTCAAGTCAAATGTAAAGACAACAACTGTTCATCCAAAAACTGCAAATTCACGGATGATTGTCACTCGTCTTCCACCAGACTCCTACCCCCCCCGCTCGCGGGGAGGAAATCTTTGATGGCGTCGAAGTCGGATGTGTGCGGATGACCCTTCATACTGCAGACGCGTTGCATACATTTTTTTATTTAGGTCCACATATTAAAGAGGCCTGGTCGGATTTGGAACAAATGGGAATTCGCGCGGCGTGAAAAAAAAATCAGATACGTGTCACATTTGGGCAGAAATATCGGAATTGAGCTGCAGCAAAGTTAGTGAAAGTTATTTCAGTGATAGTTTGCGGCTCTGTGCCTTTTTATCCAGTCTTTATTGAGTGGGCCAGCTGAAGACTGGGTGGAATGAGCCTGAGGCTGCAACGGTGGTCTTCTCTCACTCTATGCATTTTATTTTGTGCTTTTCACCTCCCAACTTGGTCAAGCCCTCACCTCTCATTTCCCCATGGCGTCACATACTTATATCCCGCATTCGTCGTCATCACTGCAGTTATCAGAGGTCGTGATCAATCAATTCCATTTGACTTAACGTTGTGGTGACACATGGGCCTTTGAGGCACCTCACTGTCCTGCATGCACAATGAATCAATTTATACTTGCAGCCATTATTGACCTCTTTTGAATGGTGCTAAACATTCCACACTCATGAAATTGAAATCCAAAGAAATGGTCATAAATGATTGATTGTAATCTTGCTAAACAAACCATTCATATAGATATGGGTAAATTAATAGCGCACACGGTATGTCGTTACTTATCTTGTCCCCTTTGCGTCCATAAAAATATATTAAAAGACCTGATGAAATGAAATTGTAGCCTTTTTATCAGGCAAGTATCTATTTTGGCTTTGTGAGTTGCGCACGGTCTCGTGCAATTTCGGAAGAAATCATTACCGAGATTGGAAATTGCTCTCATGCGGACTAAACATGCGTTATCACAAGAGTTTAAAGAGAAATGGAGCAGAAAAAAAGAGAGAGACACTTTATTCTATTTGAACTAGAATATTTTGCAGCAAAATGAGTCTCTTTGCGCCACACCTAATTGAGGTATCATCGATACTATTGGGGTGTTTCTGCAAAGTAGCACGTGGCAGGTCAGCTGCAATGGAAAAGCCATTTGGAAAAGCGTTGAAGGCATACATTGTGATGACACATGCGCAAGTACCCACCAACACGAGGAACCATGCCGGTGACACTGATTGATTCGCTCGCCTCATGTCCCCCTCTTTTGTTTCGAGCTAATCGAATGTAATTCCGCGCTTACGGCTCTCCATCAAATGAGACAGCGGCGTTTGCGCTGGCTGGCGGGGGCACAGAGGTGGGTATAATTATGATATTAATACGGAGGGGGTCCGAGGGGAAACTTCATTTGTCCTGCCGTCTGCCTCTGAGTCGGAGAGGGGTCAATAGCTTCCCCTGCCTTTGCGCTTTGGAGAGGAGAGAGGGATGAGATAATGAAATGACTTCCAAGGTAGGAGGAAAGCTGACGACCTTGTTTCTTTCCAGCTATCGCTTCCTCTCTCTCGTACCTTTCTCCGCTCAGGCCACCGTGCTCCTGTCGCTCATGAATACATTATTAATATCAGTATTCAGCCCAATTCCATTTTTCTTCTGACATTATTCCCTGTGACAATAATGACTTGGGAACCACTTGAACCAGTGTTATGTCGAAAAAATGGCCCTCACCGTTGCCCCTGTGATCATTGCGGCACTATTAGACACGATTGAGGCTTTTCATTTATGTATTAACTCAAAGGTCAGCCGTTTGGAAAAGAAGTGGGACACGTGTTGGCAGCTTGAAAGTGAGGACTCGAGTGCAGTGGCGCTATACATCTGCTCTAGTTCTCCTCTGTCTTGTCGTTCTTGATTGATGTATTATTGCTTCGCTCTCGACGATGCACCCAACAGAGTCGATTTTACGCCTCGTGCACGCCTTCTTAAGATAATAGGACGGAGAAAAGTTTTTAGCCTCCTTCTCTACCGTGCACCGAGGACCAAGAAGATAGTGGCAGCTCTGGGCCCGTTGCTGACATGCCCGAAGCCTTAAGACAGGGATATGTATTCTTTATCCATGCAAGCATAATGTATTCCTTCAGCTCCGTTTAGCTGGCGCCGTGCTGAGTGTTGGGAGACAAGTGCCGGACCGGCTCAGGTGATGTGCGATGACAGAGAAAGGCTGTCAGTTGCAGATGATTCACATCAGATAGGTCCAAAGGATGCAAGGCTACATAATGAATATTTCACGGGGATGAATCATGGATGAGTACCGGGACCGGTTGAGTTGATTTCACCGAGAGGCTTGCGAGGTAGGAAAACCTGGCAAGGTGTTGACTGGCTGTCTGCAACCTCGGGGCAGATGAGCACGAGAAACATAATTGCCTTGAGCGGGGCAGGCTGTTGTTTGTTTCGGATGGAAATGCACTTCAACAGTGAACGAGATCAGATGTGCCGTAGATCAAATTGATGCCCGTGCCTGACGGTGCTGGTCAGCACACGATTGACAAGGGAAAGCCAGCAGGACCTGCTTACGGAATGGACATGGCCTGGACAAACATGCTGCGAGACTCCACCTACGGACGCTGTTCTTTCTAAGATGAGAGAGTTACTTTCTTGTATGCATACGGTACGAAGTGTGGATGTGTGTCTTTCTTCGTCTGTCGTCTGCGTGTTGTCTAACTGCGTCCAAAGTAGTCGTCGAAAGTGACACCCCTTTTTGCGCCAATTATGCAGTGTTGGCCCCTCCTGTCCCTTCGGCTCCCCTCATCTACCGCTGCTGGTTGTGTGCTGTCATGGAAGGACTCCATC